GTGTGCTGACAATTACAACAAGCAGAACAAGGAGACCAGGAAGGCCATCACGGATCACTGAAATGTGTGGTTATCTCTCAGGACAGTGCCAAGACACATCATGGCATTCATTCACTTACGAAAATGACTTCAGCCGCAAGTCCAATCATGTGCTGATTTCGCTCACATTATGGGTTTAACCTCGTGTTTACTGGCTACCACTGGACATTAGTTACATCAAGAGTATAACCCCGCTTGGTTATAGTCACAGTACAGCAGGGATGCCTGAACGCCCGTTGTCATAAGCCTGGCATTGAGGATTCACATTAGCTGATTATGTTACATTCCAAAGAACTCGGTCTATGAGTGTATGGATTAGGAGGAACAGAACAGAATACTAGACTTTACTACAGTCATGCAGATCTCCGGGAGATCAGAAGAGACCAACCACCTGTCCGAGAAGCGGATAGTTCTCACGTCGGTAGGTGCGTGCGTGCATATCGCAAGCACGCATGCACGTACCCATGCGCTGCACTGCATTGCAAGATTGACTATTGATTGAGTGAATAGCTCTAGACTGGTGTCATACTTGAACTGTTTAGTCGGAAATCGAATTGCAGCGAGTCGGCAAGCGTCAGCAACCACGCTGTGAGGGACATTAGGTGAAGAATTGTGCCTAAGTTGATTTTCATTTGATGGACAAGACATGGTTCTATCGGGTCTAATACTCAATCCACCGGGTACATCCGGATCCATGTTTTGCTTCTGTACGCGTATTGTCCACACCACTTAATCATGCATCAAGTGCTCTAGAGAGCGTATACCCGGCCCGCGGCCCGGTGTAAGTGTCGCATGCAATCTAAAGCATAGGCAAAGCCAATGGGAGGAAGGGGACCAGGTTGTGTGTCGTATTATGTTCGCAGATGTTATAGTATACATGCACACTTTGGTTTATGGCAAATTCTCGAACGGCTGACTGTAACGAACGACACTGTTGATGTCACGTGACAAAATTCTTTTCCGTGCTTTATAACTATAAGCCCTCCAACCGTATTCAGCGTCGCATGCAGCCAACGAAACAAGTGAATGCATGTACATGTCAAGGTATGTAAGCACATGTTACTCGTCGTGGGAAGGTAGCACTAGCTGTAACTTTGTAAGGCCAATAGTATCAGCCGTGCGAGCTCTTTACTGGCAAAGATAGTCGCTAGAGGGACGACCGACTCGGAAAAGACTCTGCACGGAAGGACTCGTCACAAACTCAAGAGACTGTACAAGTAGATTGTCTCGGTCCGTACTTCAGGATTCCCTTCGCTCATACTTGTACATGCACGTACTGAATGTAGTTCTGGAATCAATCACTGATCGAATTCAATTACATGTCGGAAAGTGGCGCACGGAGGTCTCAATTAACCAATCTTGTTTAAAGCCGACACGAATTCACAATTCAGCTGCATGTGTACATAAGCATATCCTGGCACGAGTGATTTCAGTTGGCTACTACCGGTACATGCAAATGCAAACGCTGGCGTACCGGTAACCTTGACAGGTATTACATTGTGTATGATTAGCCCTGGAAAGCATCCATGGTTACCAGGGTTACTGACTGACTGTATCACCGTCCCAAGAATGCATGTGTACATGTACTGGCTAAAAGTAAAAAGTAAAATTGATGATTGCTGCTGTGGTGTTTGGTGGACAAGCGAAGATTTTGCATCAACAAACTCTCATGCTGCACATGCATACAATATTCATACGTGAAGTAGTAGTACGCTATACCACCTACATGTAGGCTGCAAAGAGTGTTCAGAATGACGTGGAGGCAGAGCGTAGGACAGTGAAACAGTGCCGGAAAGAAAGGCTAGCTCAGTGGTTCTAACTCAAAGTTTCATGCACAACAGTGCAATCATCAGAACCGTGCCTCGTAGTCCACTGTTCTTTTTGCTGTGCATGTCACTCTGTGTTATAACCGCAGAGCCCTTCTGTCCCGCACTGTTTGACTATCATAGTACGCTATATGTGCAATGGTCATGTACACTGTATCGTCATGTACACTGTATCTTCCACTTCCAGATTTCCAGATTCACTCACAACCAGAGTCATAATACTACTACACCACTGCTCTGCTGCTAACATAATACTACTACACCACTGCTCTGCTGCTAATGATGCTAGAGGCGACTTGAGCAAGTTCTTATCTCTCAGCAAACGGGCACAAGGAACATAATAATTATTTCTAGTGGTACTAGCAGCAGTTCGTTCGTTTGTTTGGCCACGACTTGGATGATAAAGGTACACACACACGATACAAGTCCGAACGATTCCCTTAGTTCACAGGTTCCAACCGTGCAGTAAATAAACGACACTACTACGTACTGTACAGCTAGTACAGTACTCATCACGTGACGTGGAATTTGACTGAGGAAAGAGGCAGCTGTTGAAACGATTGAATTGTTCTAAGTGGCTGGCACAGCTGGTTGTCTGACAGACAAGGGCAAGGAGAGCTTGCGCCAAATAGGGTAAGCCTCTTAAGTGTCTCTCGGACATTGTATGGAACACTTTGCACGTCAGTGGCTGCGTCAGTAATCAGAGCCGCGGCCACTGCTTTAGCACATGAGTTCCCGCAATTCGCGCAAGTCTCGCACCAATGGCCGATGCATTCCAGAGATGCAGCGCTGTGTTTGACTAATTGTCAGTTCCAGCACTGGACAGCAATATGCACAGTGTTTTCGCACCCCAATACTGTTCGGGCCTGCCTCAATGTTTTCTCGCACTTCCTCCCTTTGCGCCGGTAGCAATGCGTTTGATGGTCCAAGGTTAATTCGATTTTCTGCAGTCCAACTCCACTTGAACTGTAATCTGCGTACAGTACTACTCTTCGGGCACTAGTCACTAGCCCTTACCAATCCCATGTCCGTAGTGAATCACGTGATGAAAGTGTACTCATCCAATTTCTCGGGCGCTTTCTAATTTGCATCTTTCATTCCCCTGTCCTCACTCTCAGGGTAGCCATCGTGTAAGTAAATGGTTCCTAACTTAGTAACTATTGCTTACATTGTAGCTAAACGGATCTGACAGGAGAGATTGGCCAATGCTGCGTTGCTTGCAAAGTGGGCCACGGCTGTATGGATGATGTGCTAGCCATAGAGTACATAGTGCATGTACCCACACCACGGCCCTGGCCCTGGTCCTGGCCCTGGCCCTGGTCCTGGCCCTGGCCCTGGCCCTGGTCCTGGTCCTGGCCCTGGTCCTGGTCCTGGTCCTGGCCCTGGTCCTGGTTCTGGTCCTGGTCCTGGTCCTGGTCCTGGCCCTGGCCCTGGTCCTGGTCCTGGTCCTGGTCCTGGTCCTGGTCCTGGTCCTGGCCCTGGTCCTGGTCCTGGTCCTGGCCCTGGTCCTGGTCCTGGTCCTGGCCCTGGTCCTGGCCCTGGTCCTGGTCCTGATCCTGGTCCTGGTCCTGGTCCTGGTCCTAGTCCTGGCCCTGGTCCTGGCCCTGGTCCTGGCCCTGGTCCTGGCCCTGATCCTGGTCCTGGTACTGGTCCTGGTCCTGGTCCTGGATGGCAACGCTTGCGGCGAGGAGCTACATGTGCATGTACAAGAATATGTATGTGTCCATTCCAAAGCAGATCGGCCTCCAAACCTCCTAAACTAAAGTAAAGTAGCAAATGAGGGGCAATGATAGCTGGCCATTGCCTGGGGACAGTTGCAAGTCTGTACGCAGTGTGTCCATACGTTGCAGCATGATATTAGTATGACAGAGTGTACTTGAGTATGTGTATACAACACGAAGTGGTGGAATAAGAACTTTTATTGCTCGATAAAATATAGATAAAGTGCAATTTGATGGCACAGTTTATTCCAGTAAATTGCTATCTCCAGTCATACCACAAACCAAGGAGTACTGCAATACTACTCCCTGCCACAAAACCCACAATAGATGTTCGGGAGACGGATGGACCACCGTCACCATGGTCACGGCTACAGAATTCTGCAGAAACAATACTGAGACTAGAGTGAGAGGATACTGGAACAGTGTTGATGGTACATGTGATACACGTACATGCAGCGATGTACATGTATATGTAGCTCATTCGAGCCCCCCCCCCCCATACACTGTACTGACTCATTTCCAACCTTCACACACTGCTCACACACTGCTCACAGTGCTGGCATTCGGGTACATGTACATGTACATGTACATGTATGTGTTAAAGGTGCTCACAGTGCTGGCGTTCGGGTGCTCTGTGCATTTTGAGGAAGATAATGTGACACCTGCGTTCGGTTGCCATGGTTGCTAGTATTAATAATCGCTTAATAATGTGGTCTAGAGTGTGGATAACTAACCTACGAATGCACATGCAATCATTCACCACGTCATGATCTACAAGAGCCGTAGCTACTACTACTGTACTAGTAGTAGTACTAGTAGTAGTACTACTACTAGTACTAGTAGTAGTGTAGTCACACTATACATGTACATGTATGTACACCAATCCTACGCAACACTTGCCTATAGTCTATACAGTTTTTACTGATTTTAGCATTTTAAATGACAAAATGTATGAAAGTTCTGAAGTGGAGACTGTCAGAAAATGCCACAGAATTAGTGAATGTGTCAACGGTGAACAGGAAGGTCATCTTGAAAACGCTCGCTAACAGCTGTGAGTCAGAGAGATGTGGTTTCGCCCGCTCGTTCATTATCAAACTTCGCTACCACTCAAAACCCACCAGATGTGCCAGTAATGTCTCTAATGTTATTTCTAGCACTTTACTTAGATAGTTGTTCACATGAACTTCTCGCTACTCTAGAACATGCATACATGATGTACTGGAACATGCAAGGCATAGTACCACTAACTCTGTCTTGTTCTTTCTCAGTCTAGCCACAAAAACTTTAAAAGAAGCGTCTCAAGTTACTTTCTTATGATTTTTGCTCACGAATACTTCGCTATCGAGTATTGTTTTCTATGATGTGCTTGCACATATCTGTACTTCGAGTACTGGCTCACAAATTCCCATATGAATAAGAGGAAAACTGCATCTCATTATTTTGAAAACAGATACGATATGAGTGTGGAAGACTCAGCGAATAAGACAAGACTTTCTTCAGCAGCCTTGTAGAATCTGTTAGGCCAGCATTAGTATTGACACATTTCTGCGGGATGAGCAGATCAGCCGAAAAAGTGAACTAAAAAGAAACGGGTACTATGGTTACTAATTGGAGGGGAAATACCCGATCCTGACAGTGAGTGGGTAGAAACAAGACTGAAGGCAGTGCGGATTAGGATGTTGAGCTGCAATTCTACTGACGCTATATACATGTAGCCAGCATCATGGGTAGTGTTAGTGAAGACAACATGCGGAAAATAAAATTGACGAGACATTTGAAAAAGGAACTTCTACAAAATAATAATGTGTCAGTCGTCTGATTGACTAGTTCCACCGCCTAACAAGCAATAGCCCAGCTCCATCTGTAATGAAATAACCTTAAAACATTCAGCGTTGGACAGCGTTGATACGATAATTCAATATCACAAAAGCTATGCACAACGAGTATTAAACTTGCAGCTGTACACTTCATACCCCTTCTTTGAATTAGATAATTATAATAAAAAAATTGTTAACTCCGTAAAACTAAGGAGTTTTGATCATAATTACAAAATTGTTTGGTTGAAAATTATGATGTGCCTTAAAGACCTTATTGACAGTTGTTAGCATATCCTTTCACGAAGTTGGCTGCAGTGCCATTTTGAAAAGGCTGTTGTTCAGCTCATGACAACAGTGTTTGCAAGCTGTGTAAGGTGTGTTTGCTTAGTAATGCCTTTTTGGGAGGTGTCTTTGTGCTGACAGAGAGTGAGCGACATGCGAGGGCAGTACGGGGTGCAGCAATTGTCCTGCATGAAATAGTGTTGGCTGAGCAGTTGTTGAATGCTGTGCATAATGCTGCTGCAGCGGCAGCTGCTGGTGGTGCAGCTGCATCGGCGATGGGAGAGAGTGCTGCTGTTGCTGATGCTGAGGCAAGGGTTCCTGTGGCCGTTCCTGTTGTGATGTAGACTGCTGCTGTGCCTGATGGTTGTGCTTCTGAGACACAGGTGATGACTGGTGCTGCGGTGTGTGAGCCACCAGCGACAGCTGTTGCTGCTGTGTGTGCGTGGGCGTCGGCAGCTGATGGTGGTGAGTTAGATAGATTTGCGACTGCTGACATTGGTCATGTGATGCCTGGTGCTGCTGATGCTGCTGCTGATGATTCTGCTTCTGGAGCTGCTGTTCTGGATGTTGATGATGAGGTTGTTGCTGCAACTGCTGACGTGCTGCCGGGTATTGGAAGTGAGTATGTTGCTGCTGAACAAGCTGTCTGTTTTGAGTCAGTTCTGGCACAGCTGCTGGCACAGCTGCTGCTTCTGGCTGTGGTGGCGGCGGCTGTGGGAATGTCTGTATGGAACATGTAGACAAGGGATCATTTCTTGTTGCTCTACTGCCTAGGCTTGCCACTACTAGGTCACCCTTTCCAGCATTGGCATGGCATACTTCACTGAACACCGCATAGCTATCAGACGGCTGTCCAGGTGGTGTTGGCAGTGCACTGTTGACCAAATCACTACCAGCAGTAGCCTGGGCAGAGGGCAAATGATAAGGTAACTGAGGCAGAGATGACGTGGATGCTGAATTAACAGTCAGCATGCTTGAGGACGTTCCCAGTGGTAAGTGTTGTGGCTGTGCAGGCTGACACTGGTCCATGCAAGTCACAAGTGCAAAACCTTGTTGTTGATGTTGGTGTTGATGCTGCTGCTGCTGTTCTTCCTGTTGTTGATGGTGGTGGTGCTGGTCTGCAAGTACCTCATCGGATGAAATCGAACTGCCATGATCACTTTCTCCGTCCGCAGCAATAGAACCATCCGCAGACGGCAAGTCACTGTTCTCTGCGCTGGTGTCCGTGCTACTGTAGGAAAGAGCATTACCGCCATTGGCTGCATTTCGAGCATCATGCTGCTTGGAGTGCTTTCTAAGCGAGCTCGGGTGTGTATAGCTCTTCGTACATCCTGCTGCCCTGCATCGGTAGGGTTTATCATTCGTGTGCACGTGCATGTGCTTTTTTCGATCCGAGGAATTTGCGAATCTTTTCTTACAGTCCGGGAAGGTGCAGGGAAACGGCTTTTCCTTTGTGTGGACTCTGTAGTGTATCTTCAGGTTTTCGGATCTTGCGAATGCTTTGAGTGTGCAGTCTTGATGCTTGCAGACAAAGGGTTTTTCACCTGTATGAACTCGTATATGGTTGACAAGCTTGTACTTGGCTTTAAATCCTTTCTTGCGTGAACACTGGTCCCAGTGGCAGATGTGGACGTTGCCATCGTCCTGTTCGGTAGTGTCCTGTTGCTGTAGATGAACGTTGCTTATGTGCTGCGCTAGTTCGGTGACACTATAGAAAGCCAACCCACACAATTGTAGACCGTTGTTTACACGCCATTCGCACAGATTTCTGGGATGTCCGCCAAACAGTGGAGAGGCAGAGGGGTTGTCCGGTTGATACTCGACGCCTTGTGCTAGATGGTTCAGTGGGGTCTGTGGAAAGCCGGCGTGCATTTCCGCAGGATGGTTAGAGCTGGCCATACTGCCGTGCATTGCTGGGACACTACTCGGCAGATAGCTGCTAGCAGTGGCATGGAAGTGGTGACTCATTTGCTGGCTGTAGGGAGTCGCAAATTGTGCTGGTGATGACATAAGACCAATGGTTGGTTGAGGCTGTGGTGGGAGACCCAGTGTTGACTCCACTAATGATGGTCTAAGCCCCACAATACTACTGCTAGCTCCTCTGAAGCCACCAGTGTTGATAGGTTGTCCAATAAGGCTGTGCTGCCGACCAACAGGCTGCGGTTGGTTTGCAATAGGCTGAGTTAAGCTATTGTTGGGATCAGGCTGTACTGGACCGACATTAGTCCCTGCAGCTTGCAGCCCTGTCTGTGCCTGTTGATGTGTCCCATCGAATGCTGTGTTACAAAACAAGGCAGAAATTGACAATGTGCAAATAAGATATTAAAGATCGCAATTGTTAGATACTTGAAAACACTGACTGAAGTGTGCTTAGTTTTACAATAGTGAGTTGTCCCTCAGCACACATTAATGAAATCAATGGTCCCTGCGCTGGCACACAGACACACACACACAGATCATGCACACATACGGGCACACAAATACACATGCGCACACACATGAACATAATTATGCACGCAAGCACAAACCAACATGCACGCCGCACATACACGCACACACGTGTCATACAGGTACCGTTGAAGCAGTCATGTACATGACTGTACACACTGCTCTCTAAGAAGTAGCCAAGGACCTCTTTCTACATGGCTAGTACCAGGGAGTAGTATTTTACTCCTGGCCTGGCAAGCGAAGGCTAGGCTAACGCCGATGCCAACGCGAAAGGGCTGATGATGATGATGATGATGATGATGATTTTTTTTTTTTTTTTTTTTTTTTTTTTTTTTACGATGATGAAGCCACTTCTTTGGGCAAACAAAACACAATTTCCCAAGATGAAGGAGTGGAACCCTACACAAATAATAGTTTAAATGAATCCAACGCAAAGATCGTTTTTCCATGAAATACAACAAATGAACACAATTACATGCTTAAAGGCATGAAAGCAACAAAACAGCAACAAAAGGGTAAGCGCCATACCAATCCCGCATGCACAGTCAGGACACAGCACGATACTTAACAAACTAGACCTGACTCGGCCAAGGCAATCGAGACATCATGAAAACATCTCGCCGGATGGTGGTACCGTGACCGAGCCCCACGTATGCACAACACAGCAGCACGCAGCAAAGCAAAAGACAGCCGACAGCGGAGTAAACCAATGACCTGGGAATAGTGAGATCCCGATGACTCGGCCTGCATCTGGCACAGTCTCTTGAGGAACACATTGCACAGCCTCCCACAACCACCATGCACAGAGAACACGAGAGGTGTGAAAGCGGCTCTTTCTACATTTGTGACTCTTGGCCCATATTCGTTCCACTTACGCCGCTCGTGCTGCTGGTACAATGCAGGAAGGGTTCTGGACCCGTAGGAAGGAGCATCTGGGCAAAATACCCTTACATCAAAAAAAGCTTCCTCCCCACGGGTCCAAAACCCTCGAGCGGCTATGTCCAGGCGCGCATCCTCTCGGCGGTTCGTTGACCGAAGAGGAAACCTCTCACCAGAAAGAGGTTGCAGCGCTGGTTCTGTCGAAACGGCAGTGCAGACTTCAGTCAATTTCCTCGCCAGCAGGTCACGTATCTCGTTATGACGAAGTGTCGGGAAGCCGCCCCTGGCGCAACATAGCTGATGCTCAACTGAGAACAGCTCACCACACACACAGGTTGCTGGTGTATTGGCTAGCGGCCATGCATATCTCAATGCCAGAGCATCCCGGAAGTCACGCTTGGTGAGACGAAAGCCATGCTCCGCCAGGGGCAGCACGCTCAGCCATGAGGATGATCCTTTCTCCGTGTGTTCTTCTATTCGTCGCTTCGTCATCTCATCGCTCGTGTCCACTATTTTGTTCCTGGCTGCCTTTGCGCGCTCCCGGTTTTCGGTGTGGACGACACGCTTTTTGTGACGCATTTCATCGATCATCCTCTGAAAGGGGGTACCAGCACCAGCAACATCAGCAGCCACATCCGGTCCAGGGTTTGAGTTGCCAGCGACCTCCCGCGGCTGCACCTCCGTTGCCGTCATCGTGGGAGTGGGAGACGCTCCACCACGGTCAGCAGTATCTGCAGAAGCCGGCACATCTCCAGCGAGAGAAATTGGATCGCTATCCTGAGCGAAATCGCCCAGAACCTCCTTCACCATAGGTCCGGACACTTGCTTGGAGCCCTGGTGCTCAAACCGTGGTCGAGTCGTGAGGTCCGGAAGGGCCATGATGATGATGATGATGATGATGATGATGATGATGATGATGATGATGTTTTCGCGGCTGCCGTAGCTCCTACCAGAAAAAGTCAGTCAAGAATTTCAGGAGTTATTGTTTGATGGGTCGTTAGATAGAGGCCGGTGTTTGTGAGACTGCAATCATTTAATGTTTCTTCCTTAGTGGTGTAGGTAGATTCTGTTTTGTAAGCATAGTAGGACTACTTTTGTTTTGTAAGTCAATCTCATTCTCCACGCTTTGCTGTCATTTGGTTATGTTTTAAAGTAGTTTTTATGACCTGATGTTTGTTTTTTATATTTGTAGTTCTATTGTTGACATCTTTTGTCTTTTCTTTGGGTTAAAAGGTTAACTTCATCCTCGTTTTCCTATTGCCTTGTATTGGAATTTGCCCATGAAAGTGGCTACGGTGTGATAATGCACTTCTATAAATTATTTCGTGTTTTAACATTATTTTCAGAAAATTGCTCTTACAATACCTTGCGTTTTATATTCATAATATTGTTGCCCGTAAAAGCGGCTTGGTCACATGATGATGATGATGATGATGATGATGATGATGATGATGATGATGATGATGATGATGCAAAAAAGAATCAATATGTCAGCCGCGTTGCGAATGTCGAGCGAGGATCGTTCACCCCACTGGTGTTCTCGACTTATGGTTTCAGCGGGCCTGAGACAACTCAATTCCTAAAGTCTCTTGCCTCTCTCTTTGTAGAGAGAAGCCAGGATCTCAAATATCCTGTTGTCATGGGTATGTTGCGTACCCGCCTGTCGTTTTGCCTCTTGAGGTGGGCCATTACGTGCTTTCGTGGTTGCCGAGGGTCTTATAACAGACGGCGGGTGAATTCCTTTGTGGCCCAGTGTCGTTTGGCCGCATAGTGAATTTTTATGCTATGCCTCTCAACAATATCACTATGGATAACATCACATTTTTTAAATAACTATTTGGTAAAGTAACATCATCTGTCATTCAATATCTATCTGGAAAAAAAATAATCAGCATTTGAATATCTACTTGGTACTAATCATTCAACTGTTAAATGTCATATATTTACCTGAATATCTATCTCGATTTTTGCACATAATCTCGGTTATCACCGTTTCAAACCCGTACAAGAGGCCGCTTCCAATGATGATGATGATGATGGCTAGTGCTGACACGGTGACACCTACACTAGCCTACAGTACAGTACACGTAGTGACGAACTTCAACTTTTCAAGCATTACTATCTACCCATAGAGAATAGCATGACATCACGCTGGAGTAGCAAGTAGGTTCCTTCCAAGCCCTTTGCTCCCAATACTAGAAACAGGCATAAGCTTGAACCTGAACACTTCTTTCGATCAAGTGTGGTCTACACCCAGTCATGAGCTAGTACTAGTACTAGTACCAGTACAATGTATTGCCTACTATTGGACTTGAACACCTTGATACTAACTACTTGATAGTGAACAAAACATGACCGACTTGCAGCTGTACATGATGGCTTCTTTTTACACTCTACACATGTTTTTCAGTATCAATCCCCCCCCCCCCCCTGACTACTCATTACATGTACATGATTGTAGTTCCGGATTTCAACACGAAGAGAACATCATTTTCAACACGAAGAGAACATCATTTTATCACACAGCTTGCGGCAGAGATTCCCCAGATAGTAGGAACGGTCTTTTGCAGTTTCTGATTTCATGCAGGAGACCCGGAGCAGGTGTAAACCTTCCGAACCCTTAGCGACCTCCCTCTGCAGCTGCACAACAGGCTCCGTTCTCCCTGCCGTTTAGCGACCTACAGTGTAGAAACTGTGATGCACTCATCGTACTCTCTGCTGGGGCTTCTCTCCTGGATCCTGCTTCACTATGGAAGGAATGAAAGTCATACAGCGAGCTTCCCGTCTTGACTTCTAGCAACCATCCTCCGAACCACTCCACAGCACTGAATCTGCCAAGTACTAGTACACAGTTTCCTGACTACCTCCAAAGAAGTACGTGATTGGCCCAGTTGTGTGACACAGAAACGTACATTTGCCATCCTCTGCTCAGCTATTAACTCCCTAACGTTTCAGTGCAATGTCTCCTGAGCGCCGCCTTTCCTCAACCTCAGTTCGAAGTAGAAGACTTTGCCTTGATTGGTTGCAAAACGCAGTGAAACGGTCTACAAAGATCGCACGGCACTTGTCAGTATCCCGGAGTTAGTGCATTCAACCAGCAATAGCAGCACAGTTAATATACCATTGGCGATGATTTGCTTGTCGGCACCAGTAGATCCGAAGTTTCACGATTGCCACGCAATCATACTAGTTCTTCGCAAATTCCCACGCAATTAGTACTGTCTGCTTTTCGTTTCAAGCGGCTCGTTGACTAGTGCATTTTGGGTCAAGAAAGGATAAGCGACAGTGAGTAAACCCAGTGGCTAAAATGCACTCATTTCGCCCGAGCATTCTGACTGTCTCTGTGGGTAGTTAGCTGATTCGTTGCTACTGTTTTTTGCTTGACCTTTACTGTCAGTGTTGTGCGCTTACTTTCTACACATTGCCGGATCTGCAATTAGGAAATGACATTCTAACTGCGTGAGGAAAAGGAGATTCGCTGACTTGTGATAACGAGGACATGTTTTTAAACATGTCCTCGATATAAACTGCTTGAAATAAGAGCTCTCCTTCTCTAGCTCTCCCGACCACTGGCAGGTTGTGCAAGAGCCTGATCCATGGCAGGTTGCTGAGGTCAAGTAGAGTGGTTGGCCGTGCTAGGCTGTCAAGGTCTGATAATATTAGCTGGCCATGCGAAGCTGCTGAGGTCTGACACCTTAGTATGTACATGTACATGTACATTCCGCTAACTGCTACATCAGATCAAAGTGCAGGGCGGATAGGGACTTATCACCATGCATATCGTTGTCCAGCCCAGTCTCTCCATCAAAGATTCGCTTAGCCTAAGAATCCTACCATGAGTGACAAACTAACTTCTCATCGTATAAAACTATATTTTACCACCTTTCCACCCTATAGTCAAACTTACTGCACGACTGTATACATCAGTTGAATTCCAAATTCAAAGTCATACTGCGAGGAAAATTAGATCTTAATTTTCGATTGGTTATACACGGCAATGAACACACAGAAAATTCACTGACAATTTTTTTTTAATTTTCTAGAAAGGAAAATTACCAAGGAGCTACAAGTTACGCTATTATGTCCACTAACACCACCAGTCACTGAACAATCAGCTCATGCCATAACTTTGCACGACACTGACCGACGGTACTGACGTTCTGCAACTAACTGGCTATCAGCTCTAGCAAGCCTCGGATGCGCACTCCAACAGCCTTCCAAATTGGAAGGTCCTAAGTTATAATTATGACAACATAGGAGGGGAAGGTGATGGGAGGGGAGGTGAATTGCTCACTAAATCCTTATACAATCCTATTGGGCTCTCCATCCCAGTCCATTCTAACAGGCTTGATAACCATTTACACTGTCTTGGCCAGACGGGGATTAGATGTAGTGTCTGTTTTCGACAGCTTCTACTGACTGACTTAGACAATTCCATGCCGTGATTCACAGCCCATTTCACACACACACACACACACACACAAACACACACACACACACACACATGAAGTCCCATCCACGCTAGAGAGCAGAAACTAGACAATTTACAACGCAAATAATATATCGGGGCAGAAACCATGTCTAGCAGGATAATATTCTCACGTTTTTATCCGATACTGGAAACACATAAAACTCCAAGACATTATGTACAGAGCATACAGGTGCAAAATCCCAAGACATTATGTACACTAGGTTGCAAAACGTTCGACTTTCGTCCCTTACCCTGTACAGTAGGCATCTTTTGACGTTGTGAGTCCAACGGCGGAAAATACTGCATCGTGTAGCTGGGTAGTTGAGCTCCCGTCATCCCTTGGTGGCCTTCTGCTTCTGACGTGTTCCTTGAGGAAGACATTCCGAACGTGACAACTAGGGCAGTGTCAAACAGCCAACCGAGTCTCTGGAAATTGGCTGTACTTTTTCGACCACAATGGTAGCCAAAACAAGTGAGGTGACTGGCTTGTCCAGAGAACAGCAGCAAGTTCTGGTCCGGGAGATACGGATAGAATCCACGGAACGACGGGATAGTCCTGATCCACACTATTACAGGAGAGTGACTGCTGGAGTCTCGCAACGTAAAGAAGAATAGGAGATGACCCGTTGTGAAGCGTACTCGTAGCCTGTGACTCGACGAATGGTGCCGTTTCTGCTAGTCAGAGGGTTATATTGTTGTGCGGAATCTACCTATGCAGCGCGTATGCGCTAGTGCCGGCTTGAGTCCACGGTGTTCGTGACGTCATTCAACAGGCATTACTTTACGCCTTTGTCTTTCGCTGTCGCCGGCAGTAATGTATAGCAGTAGAGATCGCACATTGTACAACGAGCCGTTCTGAGTTCGGTATATTTTTAGTAGCAGTGGGTAGACTTACTGCAGATTCATTCATAGGAAGTAGCTTAGAGCAGACCCGCTCGTTTCGGCAAAATTTCCCCGATCAGGTTTGTGATGGTATGCCAGCTTGAAAAGGAGTAGGCCAGTGATGAAACTGCAAAAGACATTCCCCTTTGTCTAACTTTCATCCGTGGTCAGCATGTTGACGCAATACGACTCAAGAGCAAGGAAGCAATTGCTATGACAGTTTCGCACCCTTCACAGTCTAACCAAGTTACTTCGTTATTATTGTTACCCCTTCACTTGTACCCTATAACCCTCTTTCTCGATTCGTCCAACGCTACTCAGTATGTGGTGACGTGATAGACATTGCTTGTAATCGGTAAACAGAACAACGTAGTTTGCATCTTTGTGGTCTGGACTACATTGTTTGAGCGCCAACTCGGTGCAGGATACCGCGCCTTGTACCATTAGTAGAATCCGCAGTGAACAGACACTGCAACGACACAGTTACGTGGGGTGCCTATCAAGATCTTAATGCTCATCGCGCCCATTGTGCTGACTGTTTTCTCACGTCAGCTGATCACTAGCTAGGATTACGAGATCTGATGCGTGCCGTTGCACCACTGAGCAGTGTAGTGTTCTCGATCCTAGGCCTAGGCACAAGATTCTGGCAGAGCTAGAGGATGAGCCCTTTCTTATCCTTCACTGTACAGTGTACTGCCCATTTTTCTATTCTAATCATCAGTGTTCGTGAACACGTGAGCGTGAGCCAGTCTGCGCTTCCGCAAATGTGCTCGGCCGATCGGGTGGACGCTGCTGTAGCTGTATCGGACCTAGGCCTTGCTTATGCCAGGGTGGACGCTGCTGTATCGGACCTTAGGCCTTGCTTATGCCCGGCACAGACTAGCTATGCACGTCTTTCGAGTCACTACTGAGAGTGTGACACTGGGGCCAACTCACTGAACTAGCTTTCCACTCAAAGTACTTGACGATCTTGCGTGCGATGTACTTACATCCACTACGTCTTCCCATGGCGTGTGCTTCTTTTCCTCGAGAACCGTTCCTGGTGCTGTCCTCCTGTCTGCCAGCCAAGCTCAGGCAGATGCTGCCTGGCGCAACAACACATGTGTCAGTATCACTTTATGAAGTCAGGGGAGTGCTGTTGTGAGATGTATGCCGATGAGCATGTCATAGGTTCGCCGTACGGTGGTTGGTGCATGACCTTCTCAGCAACAGTTCTTACTCTCTCCGATCCCCACTCTTATTGTCTTAACATGTCGTACACGTCTACAGTAGTACAGATCACGTCCCCGGACAGCCCGGACAATAGTCAGTACAGTACAAGCTGACCTAGCAGTTACACCACAGTAAATACATGTACACCAAACAATATGGAGCGAGGAGATGCGCAGACGGCTTCCTTTGATCGCTTGTAGCAATCGGCATGTACGCACTGTCTACACGATCAAACCCAGGCGAATATTCATATTGCTACTTTCCTCAACGTCACGAATGTCATCGGGAATCTGGTGTTTGAGAAAGGTAAACTTGCACACTTCATAGCAGCAGAGGTTATAGCCGGCTATTACACACTGTAGCCTGAGTGTAGGGTATTAGACCAGCAGCAGCAGGAGCAGCCGTACATACAACAGGCATAGAGTACTCTGCAGACCTGTGACCTGGCAAGACCAAGCACCGCCGCCATATTCTACCACCACTCTACCTGGAGTTCAACCTCATGAGCAGGCGAAACCTAGGAATCGGATACTAGTAACCATAGTAACGAACCATGATACTAATACTGCAAGGCCCATGTCACGGACAAGACAGGCTTATCATGGTACATTCTAGATTTATTTCCGGGAGATCTTCGTTGCAAGGAGTACTCCGGACCGGTGCTGCCTTTCCTGGATTGGCAATGAATTCAATGAATTTTTGAAAATTCCACATAAATAAATTAATTTCACGGTTCGCGTGAGGCTCGGCTTGAAGCCGAGTTTTCGTATCCATAGGAACATCACCACCCTCTAGGATCAAGGCGCAGATGCAGCTCCTAAACGAAAATTCCACATGCAGGGACAATAAAATCGACAGGGGGCGGGAATTAGAGAGGGGGCGGATCAACGGTACTTTACGGTAATAGTATTATCATCTGTGCAGCGCTGAGGAGCTCTAACAGAGCGAAACAGTTGCTGTCCACAGATTTGAGTATTATCATCTGTGTGTTCAACTTCCAGCGCACTGGGATCCGAGGAGCTTCACGCTTGCACCGGTGACTAGAATATCTTCTAAGAGACGTGCTATTATTGGAGACTGTGCTTATGTAGCAGTTGAGCACTCTTGCGTGGGGTAGTGCCTTTGCTGTTTGCGTTATGCAGAGCTCACTGACTTGTCAGTTTGAGCACTCTGGCAAGGTACGTTCGGGCCTGATTGGAAATTTTTATTTCCATCGCTATCAGGTTCGGCCTCATTTCCTCTGTGCTGCGCTGACGAGTCCACAAAGGACGAAACAGTTCTGTCTGCAGATTGAGATAATACGGTATGTAGGACTCAGTGACCAGTCCCCATGACCAGGCCCCATGACCAATCACGGTCCCCGTGACCAGTCAAACAGTCACAAACCCCCCATGACCAGTCACAAAATTAGTTTACCAGTCACAATGCTCCATGACCAGTCACAACTCACCATACATCTGCATGTGTAAGCACACAGTTCGTGACTGCTCGCGGAGTGCTTCATACTGCAGGATTTGTTGTGGAAACTATTATTCCCTATGAGTGGTCACAGAATACAATTGTGACCACAATAATTCCATGCGAACGGTTGCATGCGGAATGTACAGTTGCGACCGCTCTTTCTCTGTGAGTAGTTACAGGCAGAATATAGGTATTTCTGTATTATTATTTTATCTCTTTTCAAACAATCCACAAGCCAAGAAGAAATGCGTAGACAGAAGAACCGTACTCTTGGTGATACTGATAGCAAACATGATTAATTCCTCCAGGCCATTGAGCACCCAATTCTAAACCGTATCTAACCAAAGTTCTTGTCAAAGCAGCATGCCAGTTCAAGAACATCTCGTCAGACATACATATCAATATATATCCGATGCACTCTCACTAACAAGCAGGCATAGCAGGCTACATTGGCACCAGCAATCACAAGAAGTTGTAGTGAGTGAATATTTCTATAAAATTAATAATAATAATAATGACAGCACTGGAATATCGAGGTGCGATTTCTCACGAAAGTGTGCAGAAAACAAGGGTATACAAGTAAGAACTAAGCGTGACAAGTGTGTATCAGCAACAAAAACAAAAAAGTGAGAACGAATGATAATAATAACACTAATAAACAAGAAGGTGACAAAACACATTTAGGCACAAGTGGCAACAACGTTGCCACACTACACAACAGAACATTATTTGAACAATTTTAGGGTAATAACACTATCTTTCTGGACACACAAATTCGGCTTATGAATGCGCTGACAAACAGCTTCCAAAACTTGTAACTGCAAAAGATAACCATGACGAGCACGGCACAAAACAGAAAAACAGGAATCAGAATAAGTACGACAACAGTCAGTACTAGAAACCAAATGATTGTATACTGAAGACTTGTTATTACGAGACGGACGCACACAATCTCGACTCACGCGCACACCCTCACACTCACTCTCACCCTCACTCAGCTCACCTTCTCCCTCACTGTCCGAATCAGAACCTGCTCCGTCATCCACCGCGGTTTGACTCTCCTCCTCACGTGCATCGTCCTGCGTCTCACCTTCACCACCCACGCCAACCGTGAATGCCGTTGCCTTCACGTCAGTCGTCGTCCTTTCCGATTGTTTCCTTTGTATTTTTACCGTGAATTCATAGGTCCGGTTGTAATCTGCTGTAGATCTCCGTGGTCTGTCAACAACTAATCCACAAAACAAAGCAGCAAATGACAGACCACGGAGATCTACAGCAGATTACAACCGGACCTATGAATTCACGGTAAAAATACAAAGGAAACAATCGGAAAGGACGACGACTGACGTGAAGGCAACGGCATTCACGGTTGGCGTGGGTGGTGAAGGTGAGACGCAGGACGATGCACGTGAGGAGGAGAGTCAAACCGCGGTGGATGACGGAGCAGGTTCTGATTCGGACAGTGAGGGAGAAGGTGAGCTGAGTGAGGGTGAGAGTGATTGTGAGGGTGTGCGCGTGAGTCGAGATTGTGTGCGTCCGTCTCGTAATAACAAGTCTTCAGTATACAATCATTTTTTTTATTTTTTATTTATTTATTTTTTAGTATACAATCATTTGGTTTCTAGTACTGACTGTTGTCGTACTTATTCTGATTCCTGTTTTTCTGTTTTGTGCCGTGCTCGTCATGGTTATCTTTTGCAGTTACAAGTTTTGGAAGCTGTTTGTCAGCGCATTCATAAGCCGAATTTGTGTGTCCAGAAAGATAGTGTTATTACCCTAAAATTGTTCAAATAATGTTCTGTTGTGTAGTGTGGCAACGTTGTTGCCACTTGTGCCTAAATGTGTTTCGTCACCTTCTTGTTTATTAGTGTTATTATTATCATTCGTTCTCACTTTTTTGTTTTTGTTGCTGATACACACTTGTCACGCTTAGTTCTTACTTGTATACCCTTGTTTTCTGCACACTTTTGTGAGAAATCACACCTCGATATTCCAGTGCTGTCATTGTATCGTGTCACCCTACCTTGATTGCAATAATAATAATAATAATAATAATAATAATAATATTAACTGGTTTGAGGGAAAGAGACAAACGGGAAAAGTCTGAA